AGAGAGAGAGAGAGAGAGAGAGAGAGAGAGAGAAATTTAATTCTACATAATTACACCTGTAAATAAGGCTAAATTCATACACCCCTTAATGTAAGTTAATTTGTTTGATATTAACTCGTATTTAAAGTTTTATCAAATTAATTACTAAAATTATTTTTATACGCAAATACTTTAAAGTTTAAATTAATACCACAATAATAATACATTTAATTGTAAATATATTTTTAAAATTGTTTTCTTTGAATTATATTATTAACATTAAATAAAATAAAATTGCGTATAAATTGACATTTAGCAAAATTGCTTTATTTACAAATCAACTTTAAATTGTGTTACTTAACCGTGATTTGTATGATTTTTATAATGATTATTAAATTATAAGTTTTGTTAATTTGTTATTTATTATAAATTATGAAATATTTTCATTGCAAAACATTTACATAGTTTTATTATTATGTAAATTTATATATTTGATTAGATTTAATTAAAATAAAACGAAATAAAAGCAATGAACATTATATTAACATTAAAAATAATTTTATTTTAAAGGTTCGTATCTATGTTGATCATTAGAAAATATCTTGCTTAATTTTTCAAAACCTATGTTCAATAAATGAGTGTATTTTTGTTGAGTTTTAAAATTAATTTAGAAAAATTTTCATATTTCATAATAAAATTCCCAAATTATAAGTTTTTGCAATTTATACCGCAATTAATATAAGATTGAAGATAACTATTACTATACATACTCTACAAAATAGATGATTAAGATAAATAAATCTTAATATCTGTAATTAAAATGCTTCTCAAATCTTTTATTATTGAAAATATGAGCATTTTTGTGATAATAAACATTAAATTGTAAATAATGTTCAAAGAGTTAATGACATTATGTCTGTCGTCTAAATGACAGACATTCAAGGATCGGATTCTCGGGGTATATAAATAAATGGTTAGAAAATAGTCTCAAATTTTAAGAAATTTTTCTACAATATAAAGTTAATAATGAAATTATATGTAAGATTTAAAAAATTAAACATTAATAATTTGTTATAATTTAAAATTTTATATTAGATTGCGTTTACTTTATTGGCTCTAATGGTTGTCCAGTCAATGACTGCTCCAATCATTTATGAGGACACCATTGAATCAATTGATTTGATTGACGACAATGTGTTGGTCGGACCTAATTATGGTTTGCTCTATAATGACAAGCCATGGGTTAATTTTGGCTCTTATGGCTACATCCCTGACAATACATATAACTATGGATTTGGTTACGGATGGCACACAATATTTGGCAACAAATAATTTCTACTTAAATTCTTAATTTGAATTACATTAAGCAAATTGTATATTGATTTATACAATTTTGTTTGATTAACTAATTTAAACTAAATAAAAATATTTATTTGAATAAACATTGAATTTTTCTTAATTAGTTAGTATTGTAGTTAGTGTACAATACTTTTAAAACTTTATACGTATTATGTATGAACTATTCAAACTTGTACAATTTTAACGACAAGTTCTAATAAAACTAGTAAGGGTAATAAGTTTTATATTAATAAAATTGCGTAAACAATATACCAATCAAATACCACAATCTGGGCAACAGATCGGGGCGTAAAGTATATCAAAATGTTTACATTTGTATTTCTTTCATTAACACTAATCATTACAACTGATGCCGCAAACAGTTAAGTGTGACATTTGTGAATGTATTGCTAATTATATGAAATGAAAACAAAAATCTGCAGACATTTTAACGAAGCACATAATGCCGGGCGGTCTGGAAGTGCCGCCAATAGGGTTGGGATCGTCTGACGACCTCAAGAAGAATGACAACCAAAAGATCAGCCAATTCTTGAACGCAATTGAATCCGGATATCGATTAATAGATACGGCATATAAATACGATAATCAAAGACATTTGGGTTTAGCCATCAGACAACTGATGGACACAACAAATATCACTCGCAATGACTTGATTGTAGTGACCAAAGTGTGGAGTACTTTCCATACGAGAGAGCGGGCCTTTGAAAACGTGAAGATGGAGTTACAGGACTTGCAGTTTGATTACTCGGACTTTGGTTTAATCCATTATCCGATATCAATCACTCCTCACGAGAGTAATCCTCGCGAATACTTCACATACTCGGCCAACGGATCCATTCAAACCCCGTATCCGCAGAGAGATGTCGGCTATTTGGAGGCGTGGAGAGGCCTGGAAGCGGCTGAACGGCTCGGTCTCGTCAAATATATAGGTCTCGCAAACTTCAACATTCATCAAATTAAGAGGATTTTGTCGGTGGCTGTCGTCAAACCAGTTGTTGTTCAGGTTTCATATAATATATACTATAATTACACTATTATTATTTTCATTTCACACTTACATTCATTGTTAAATTGAAAATCTAATTAATGAACAGAAAATATTAACAATTGAAGGTTGAATGCCATCCGCTGTACCGAAACGATAAGCTGACGAATTGGATAAAAGCCCACAACATGTCTGTCATGTGTTACTCACCGCTGAGGAAGTGTTCGCCAGAACTGGTGAACAACAATGTACTGCAAGAAGTGGCCGACAAACATAAGAGGACCGTATATCAGGTGTCGTTGCGTTGGAATATGCAAAGGGGACATATTGTGATACCACGATCTTTTGATAAACACCATCAAAAAGAGAATTTGGATTCACTCAACTTCGCTCTCGATCAACAAGATATGGACAAAATCAATGCAATACCACAATTGCAAAAGATTATATATCCGGGAAATCTGCTGCCTATAAGTATGCCCTCACATCCCGACTATCCCTTTGGTGAGGACGACGACAATTGATTTGTTTGTGTGTTATATCGATATACAAATGTAAATGTATTTATAATAAATAATTTATTGGCAAATTTATTAATTAATTGGTTGTACATTAAATCTGTTCAATATTGTGTATTTGTTAAAAAAAATTAATTTATTTATAAATGTGACTTAATTTAATGTGACCTTTCACTTTCACCTTTATAATGTAGAATAATAGCTACACTGTAGTTTATAAAATGTTATGTTTCTAAATAATTAACCAATTTATAAAATAAGATATGCATAAAAACATGTGCAAAAATCTCTAAATTATTGTATTAATATTTAAGTATTAAAAAACTTTGGTATAAAGATTTGTTGTTATTTTAGGATAACATAGCTTCGGGTGAATTAGAATTACTTTTACTTATTTTGATTTTAAACGTTATAGCATTGAATTCGTGTTTATCAATATGCATCATGTTAAATTAAATATAATATTGTAAATGCATTAATAAAAATATTAAAAATTAATTATTTATCATGAATATGAAATTATGATTTGCATTGAAGTTTTGACAACTCCTTAATCTAATATACAATAATTATTGTATTTTACGAGGCATTTAAAATATACAATAAGTAAATGTTTTCATAACCCGTATAAATGACGGACAGGGACTGGAAATACCGGACATTACTTAAATATAATAATTATAAATCACAAGCAATTTGTAAAATGTATTAAAATTATTATGAGTATTAAATACATGTGTGAGAGGTGTCAGTAAACTGGATTGAATGTTGGGAAGGGTGTAGTTAACCGACAGAACCATTTAAACGGACATTAAGTTCAATCGTGCACTTCATGTCCCGGTCAGCGCTTGTATGACAACATTAACCATATAAAATTGCACTTATTACACTAGTACTATTTATTAAAACTTCTCAACAAGTTAACTTTGACTATGCACTCCCATAGACAACAATAATATATAGAATATATTATATTCTAATTTTACCTTTATTTACCCGATTCTTACCCGCTATACGCTATGAAGTAATACACTATACAAACAAATTAAGGTCATATAAAACATGTTCTAAGCTTATAACTACCAATATAACAATAATTATATATATAGATTTCAATTAGCGCATATTTTTGTGCGAGGATCAATCAAATAAATATACAAACAATACAATATTGATTGAAATGTTTCTAAAGATTTCTGCTGACTATTTTAAAACTAAATTGTTTGCAATAAAACAATTTTTATGACTCTATTGTTTATTTTTATTTTTTTAATGGTTTAAAAATCTATTGCATAAAAGTTATAAGTATATACATATTTAAGAAATTTAAATTAATTAATAATCAAACAAATAAACATTAAATTGCTCTAAAACTTATTGTAAATTATTTGCTCATTAGATAGTTATAACTAAAATTCTGTTATTTAACTAACTGTTGATTGATTTTATAAATATATGTACATTATAATATAATGTATTACAATATATTACAATATAATGTAAGTTTTTATATACAGTGATTGAGTTTGTGTTTAAATAAGTTTGTATTTTAGGAAATTCATAAAATGGTCACTTATAGACTAACACATTGTAAGTTATAGACTATAACTTATAGTTAGTCAAAAACGTAAACTATACTAAAAATATTGCGATTAAATGGGAAATATAAGTTCAAATATTATGTAAATATAAAAGATGTTTCACTATTTTCTGTTTAATACCCATTTTAAAAATACAATTGGCCCATAAAATAGTGATTGATTTGTGCTGTGGTCCTCTTTACTAGCCTTTTGCACATATTTGTAATTTTCTATTTATAAAAATGGATATAATTGAATGTTACTATTTTTACAAAACAAATATTACATTTAATGCTAAAACAATGCAAAAACAAGTTTAAAGTGATTGAAATGAATAGTATTTTTG